GGGGGAGGTTTCCTACTGCTGATGTGACCTTTTGTAATTAAAGCAAAATCCAGCCTGCGCCTCTGCCTCCTCCCTGGGGGGGGGGGGCCAGTCCTGCCCCGCCATGCCTCAGTTTCCCCAGCTCCCCCTTTCCTCACCCATGCAGCAGGACGGGGGTGGGGGTCCGGACACCCCAAGCTCCTCTGGGCAGGGGTGTCACCTCGGGGTGCTGCTCACCGCCGTCTTCCGGGGGGGGCGGAGGCGGCTGGGAGGGGGGCCCGGTTTGCACCCTGAGCCAGCAGCCCGGGGGGCCGCCCGTGCCGCCCCCGCACCTGCAACGGGGAGAGCAGCCATGGGGCATGGGGAGACTGAGGCACGGGGGGGGGGGGGAACCTCCTCCCCCCCCCCCGCCGCACCCATCCTTACCTCTGGGTGCAGGTGCACCCACCAGGGTCCGGCCTGGCGCCCTGGGGATGGCGCTGGGCACGAGGGGGCGGCCAGAGGGGACGGGGACAGTGGTGGCCCTGGCACGGGGCTGGCGGGCGGCGGGGGGGCACGAGGCAGCACCCCCCCTCACCTTCGGCTGGCCTGAGGAGAGAGGGGGGCATGGGGGCACAGCGAGGGCACCCCGACCCCCCCAACCCACAGCTTGGGGCTGGCTTTGGCACCCGCTTGGCCCCAGGGTGCTGGATCTCTGGTGGGGCTTGGGTCCCCTTCTCCCACCCCATGGCATGAGCTTCCCATGACGCAGGTGCCCCATGGCGTGGGTGTCACCTGCCCAAGGACCTGCCCGTGCCCGGGTTGTCCCCGTCCCCCCACAGAGCCGGTACCTGCTGTCCCCGCCTGGAGGGGCTCCGACTTGCCCCGGGTCCCAGCCCCCTGCCCCTGGGGAGGGCAAGGCCGGGGGGCGCCCACCCGGCTAGGGGGGGGCACCCTGGTCCCGAGGGGTCCCTTTGGCACCGCTGTGGGGTGACAGCTGGGTGACACCTGGAAGCAGAGGGGGGGGGCGACAGGGACACCACTCAGTGGCTGCCCACCACTCAGCTGGGTCTGGGGGGGCCGCAGTGCCACTCTTGGGGACTTGAGGGTGGCACTCGGAGCCCCTCCACCCCAAGACGGGGTTTGGGGGGGGGGGGGTAGTGTCTAGGACTTCCACCGTGGTGGGAACACAGTTTGGGGCCATACTGGGAGCACTGGGACTGCCCCCCACAAGATGCCACCTACCTTTCGGGTGCCGGGGACGTTGGTGGCAGCGGGGGCACCCCGGGCCTTGGGGGGGGCCCGGGCAGTGGGGGGGGGGGGCCCCCGTGGCTCCACGGTGGGCAGCAGCGCCCGCACGGGGCTGTCCTTCACCACGAAGGTCTCGCGGCGGGG